TGAAATATGCTCTAGTTAAACATATCCAAATTTGACGCGATTTGGTCTACTAACAAAAAAGTTATGAAAGAAAGAGCGTCAAAGCATTTCACCGAAGACTTTTGAGCGCTACTGTAGGTGGTAATCTGCACTCATTTCCATAGGAAAAGGAGGTAAAGGAGCTTAGGACCAGGAATTCTAGACGTCCACAGGATTTTTTTTTTCTGAATTTCGAGTGGAGGTGGCGATATAATTAGGCCCTCAAAACTCGCTGGAATTGTGAGCCGGAATTCTGAATTCTCGATTCTATTATAATTATTGCGAATGTTCCTTCGGTACCTGTCGGTTCTGTGGCGATAGCCTTGCACTAGACCAGATCATGAACACTTGTGAAAGCTGTTCAGCATTACTGGGGTAGAAAAGCACGGAGGCTGCAGTTCCACGGTCCTCTAGGTTTGGGCATCTGTATCGGTTGTATAGAAGCCCGGAAGAGCTCTCCAGACCGCCTGGAATGCTATAGGTTCATGAGTCGGTGCTTCCGAGAGCTTCCAAAATGACTATGTCGTATTTTGCATACGGTGGCCCATTTTGAGGTGCCATGTCCTTACGTTTCAGCAAAGTGTACCCTCCCCAATTACCAATGTCGATCTGAAGTATCCTCTTCACAAACTCGCACTCATTCAAGAGCTACGTCGATTAACGTAGTGGCGATGATGGTGACAAAGAATTTGGGGGAGAAACCAGAACGGTGTCGCCGGCGCGTAACCACCGCGACGACCATCTCCCATCACCACCGCCACCATCACCACCAATTCCCCTAGCTGTTCGACGATCTGTTCGATATCGTCACGCTGTTCTGCTGCTGTAGGTTTAATGGATGTGAAATTGGAGGAGGCATTGCCATACTTGATTGTGACTGTGTCATTGATTACCTTACTTTTTAGTATAACCTGCTTTCACTGCCTTATTTATATGGTATTTACTTAGTCATGATTGAGTCATAAGATAGCATAATCGCGTTTTGCCGGTGTAATGCCGAAAAACTCCTGGGGGAATTACGAATTCTGAAGTTTTACTGTAAGAGGGAGGGAAGAGAAAGGGATGATTCACAATTTGAAACAAGTTTTCCCAAGTATTAGTGAGAATCCTTTCTATCCATTAGGCTTTTTTATTGTAAACAAAAACAACAACAATCAAATGGCCTCACCCCAGTTATTACCCACTATGAAAAAGTTCTCCCAACCTCCTATGCCCCGCTAGTTATTACCGTAATTCAGGCGTTCATACTCGGTCATCGGCTGCGCTGCTTGATCCTGGCGGTGATCTGGGTCCGATTGGTGTTGGACTGGATGCACATTCCTTGGCTAGTGCATCGACATCACATCTTCCAACACCATCATCTACTCCGACAACGCAACGAAAGAATAGAAGGATATCAAATATTTTTGTAAGTTTTATAAGATTTATACAGTATGTGTCGACTTTTTCGAAAAGTTACTTCTTTTTTTCTTTTCATTTTTCAGTCACATAGTAAACTCGTCCATTTTCAGCAACGTCCTAAAGACAACGAAGAGAAAAACAAAGCTCAAAATGTGAATCTTGGTGGTGGACGTGAAATTCCCATCAAAGAAGGAACAATGCATAAGAGGAGTACCAAAGGAGCTTTGAACCGGTAAGGTTCTTGCAGTAACTTCTAACTTTCCTATTTCAACCCTCTAGACCAAACCTGTTTTCCGTTGTTGATTCTTTGCCAAGATGATTTTGTTGTATGACTTAAACCTGACGGGGAATCCCACAGAAGGTGTGGGTGACGCGTCTTTATGAAGATCATATGTGACGAGGTGTGGGGAAGAACAGCAGGGTGCCCTATTATGTTGGCAGTCCAGGATTTCTAAATATTCCACCACGGTTAAGGGCGCTGGATAAAAAATGCTCTCATCTGGGCCGATACCACTACTGGCCCAACCAGAGCAAGACTTGTTCTGGGTACCCCTATATTTCTAACCTTTATTTTGATTAAAATATGGGAATTGTTTCAGTGAATGGAAGAAGAAGTACGTCTGCTTGTATGGAGATGGCCGGCTGACATACCATCACACTCAAAAAGACTATCGGGATAAGCCAAACCATGGGAAGGAGGTAAATAAGAGCTCCACTTGCTCTATTCAGTGGCCGAAC